GCCCCCCCCCCTTCGCGCCGCCCGAGGCGACTGTCACACCTCCCCAGCCGCGGGCGCAGTGCCCCCCTCTGGGCCCGGATCGGCCCGGTGGAGAGAAGTACACCTGGCTCGCTGGCGCCCGGGCGTGCCCGGAGCCGCCGCCCGCCCGCCCGCCCGACAATCCTGTGAGCCCACCCGCACAGCGGCCCGGACCCGGACCAGGGCCATCACACCTCGCCCACACGGAGAGCCGAGGCCCGGGCGGCTGGACCGCCACCTCTGCCCGGCTGCCGCCCGCCTCCCCTGCCAGTGACAAGGCGTCCGCCCCCTCCCTCGCAGGCCATGGGGTGCCGGGAAGGGCCCCCCCCCCCTCCCCTCCCCGGCCGAGAGACCCCACAAGATCGGTCGCTGGGAGGCGCCAGGGCGCCGCGCCTTTCGAGAGACCGGCCCCCCGGCCACTCCGCGCGCGGCCGTGCTGGCTCCCCCGCGGTGCGCCTGCCGCTTTTTGTGACACTGCCACAGGTCTCCCGCTTGCCCGCACCAGTGCACCAAGAGGGCACCCAGAAGGCCAGCAGGGCCAGGCACCGTGCGCGCCCCCCGCGTTTCCATGTTACCGCGGCCACCGTCCCCCCCCCCCCCCCCCCCCCGGGAGGGCCCCATCCTCTGATACGCGCGCATGCGGCGGAGGGGGGGCAGGGAGAGCGAGAGCTGCTCGCGCGCCCGCCGGGCCAAAATAAAAAGAGAAGTGACCACGATGCGGCTCGAACACACAACCTCCTGATCCGTAGTCAGGTGCTCTATCCAATTGAGCTACGCGGCCATTCTGACTGGGGCCCCGCTTGGCCACAAAATCCGCCCGGCTGAAGCCCGTGCGCCGCGCCCGGCGGGCCGGCGGGGAGCATCGCGCCTCCCGGCCATGATGCGACCAAGGCCGCCGTGCCCCGCGCCGGCGGCCGCTCCCGCCACCGCCCGCCCCCGACCGCATCCTCCCCTTTGGTGCCGCCCAGCTCCGCCGCCCGGGGCAGCCACCCCCTGCAAGAGGGCGCCTCGCCCTCCCGGGTCCCATTGTTGCGGGGGCCAGCCCCTTTTCGACGCCTGTGCCGCATGGCCCGCAGCTGGCGCCCTTCCCGCCCAGATCGCCAGGGCTGCGGCCGCGCACATGCGCCCATTGTCGCGGCCTCAGGGTGCGCCCGCGCCCATGCGGCGCCCCGCGGCCGACGGCTCCAGCTCGAGGCCCACCAGGAAGAGGCGCACACGACCGACCTCGGGCCGGCGGCCCGGCCTCGGCAGATCACCCCCCCCCCCTGTACCAGCGTCCCTGGTGCCCCGTGCCCGGCCGATGAGGCCGCCCGGCGGGGGGTCTGCTCAGCATCAACACCAGCCCGCGGCGCAGGCTGCCCCGACCCCGGAGCCCTGCCGGGCGCCTTCGGCCATGTCTCGGCAGGAGTCCGCCGCGACCTGCCTCTGCGAGCAGCAGGCGCCGGTCACATCCGATCCCGCCCGGCGCCCGGCACAGCGGATCCCCCCCGGGCGCGAGCGCGTGCGCGCCAATGCTCGCATCGGCGACTGGACGATGCCCGCCCCCCCCCCCCCCCCCCCCACGCACGCTGGCACGCGGCCCAGGAGGGGGAAAGAAGTCACTCGCCCGCCGCCGCCCCGCCCGGCAAACCACCTCACCCCGGAACAGGCAACACATTGGAATACGCATTTGTATTCCAGGAGGGGACCCGTGGCAGCGCGAGGCGCGTGTGCTCTCCTCCACGCGGGGAAAGCCCACCCCCGGGCGGCACGCCTTCGGTGCCCCGGCCACACCCCGCGCCACAGGCGAGTCCCCCCCTCCTCATCGGACGGCCGGGGGGCGCGCCAAAAATCCTGGCGCACACGCCCCCGGCCACTGGCCGGCTGGGTCGGGCCCATGGCCGTCAGCCACCGGGGGCCGGGTTCTCCTGGTCGGCGGCCGAGGCCTGGAAGAGCTCCGGCGTGGGCTTGTCATCGATCGAGTCCAGGCGCTCGGACTGGCCGGCCCGGCGGTCCTGCTTCTGCTGGTCCGCCTCGATGTCGTGCAGGCCCTGGGCCTGGGCCTCGTGCGGCGCATCGGCATTCGACTGGGAGAGGTTGCGCGCCGGCTGCTGCGCCGCCTGGGCATGGACGTCGCCCTCGGCGCCCACCGACTCCAGGCGGTCCGGCCGCTCGCCGGTGGGCTCCTGCCGCTGCTGGCGCTGGTGCTGCAGGTTCTGCTGCTGCTGCTGGGACGGCTGCTCGGGGTTCTTGTTCATGATGGACTTGCGGGGGGGGGGGGGGGGGGGGGGGATATACTACGCAGAAGCCAAGGCCCCCGGCGGTGTCCGCAGCACGGGGCGCGGTCGCGTCCACGGTGCCGGCCGCGGTCGGGCGCCGGCAGCAGGGCGCTCGTGCGCACCCGCGCACGGGGCGGGCGACGGTCAGTGAGCGGTCTCAGGCAGCCGGCCTCCAGGGGGGGGGGGGGGGGGAGGGGCCGGCGCAGGGGCGAAGTTCGGCGAGTGCCAGTGGCCGCGCGCACCTAACGGGGTAAATGGAACTCTTTTGGCTTGCTGATGCCCCTGTGCCACGCTGCTCCGGCGCCGGGCACCGGCCTCTTATATAGGCCCGGCCGCGCTGGCGCCCTTCCCGCAGCCCATGGCGCCGGGCTGCTCGACACATGGGCCCCATGCCATCGGCGCGGCCCGGCCCCGGCGGGCGCCCCCCCCCCTCGCCCCCGGCCGGGAGTGTGCCCCGAGGGCGATCCCGCACGGAGACGCGCATCCGGCCTCCGGGCGCAGGGCAAGCTCCCCCCTCGGCAGGAGGGCCCCCCCCCCCCCTGAAGGTGGGGACCGGCCAGGGCAGGAAAAAAAAGCCACAAAAAGGCCGCCCCGAGGCCCGGACCGATTGGGGCCCCCGCGAGCGGACCAGCGCCGCCGATGCGCCCGGCCATGGCGGACCAAGGGGGCTCATGGTGAAAAAAAAAATGGCACAAGATGGTCCGACGCCTGGCCCCCCACCCCCCGCACCGGCGCCCCCGCGATCGGCCGCGGCCTGCGGGTGTGGGGCCGGCACGCCCCAGGCGAGTTAACCCCGCCGCCGGGCCCTCGGGCGCGATTAATGCCCGCTTAATTGATCGCCCGGCCCCCCGTCGGGCCCCCTGCCGCCGTTGCCCCCCCCCCCCCCCTGGCTGGTGGAGGGACTTCCGGGGCGCCCCTCCGCACCGGCACAGGACCCCGGCAGGCCGCCGTGCACATGGCGATGAGCAGCCCCGCCCACACAGCAGCGGCCGGGGGCCGGCAGACCGAGGCGGCCGGCGAGGCCCCACTGCCGGGCACATGCCCGCCCCTGTGTGCCGAGGGGCGATCCCCGCCGGGGCTCGCGCGCCCGGACTTCGAGCGGGCTGACCCATGCCGGACGTGCCGCACCTGGACCGCCGGGGGGGAGCCCACAGCAGCGGCAGCAGCGCCGGCGCCGACCACACGGACACACACGGGCGAGAGGCCAGGGCGACGCCACGGCCCACCGGGGGCACCCTGCCGGAGCACGGGGCACTGCACGTCGCCGGCCCGGTGGCGGCTCGCCTCGTGCCGCGCACGGCATCCCGATGGCTCAGCATCGGGGAACCCCCCTGCGCAGCAAAAGAGAGGGGGCCGGGGCCTTTACCTGCTGCTCGCTCGCGCACGCACACCCGCCCCCTTGGCGCCCGCACGGCCGGCGGGAGAGGGTCCAGCCGGGCGCCGCCGCCAGCCCCCACCGGGCACCCCCCGCCCGTCCGACAGGCCCGCCCAGAGGCCCCAGTCGGTCCGGTCCAGCAGCGCAGGCCCGCCCGCCAGGGGCCGCAGTCCGGCATCACGCCCTCGTGCCCGGCCCCCGGCGCGCCGCCCGGCAAATGGCGCAGCGGTGCCCTGCGGCGGCCCGGGGTGGCCTGCACGCCGGCCGGCCGGTGCCGGTCGCCGCTACGCATGTCCAGCGCGGGCCTCCCTGGCGAGGGGGGGGGGGGGGCGGCCGGCCCCCCACAAGCCGCCAGGCGTCGGCCGGCTCGGCGCGGTCCTGGCTGCGGCCCCCGCGCGCCGGCAATCCAAAAAAAAAAAAGACCCCCACCGACGGACGAACGCTGCCCGGGCCTGTCCTGCTCTCGCCTCTCGGTCCATGGTGGTCGCCCGCTCCCGGCCCCGGGAGACCGCCCACGATTGGGCGCGCGCCGCCACATGCCGTTTGGTGTTGCCGCCAGCACACACATACATCAGCGCGCGGCCACCGCGGGCAGCGCGTGCGCCGGCCATTCCCCCCGCCGTGCATGCGGCCGCCCTCCGACGCCCGGGGGCCCTGCTTGCCGGCCACAACCGCGCCGCACCCCCCCCCCCCCCCTCGCGCCGGTCCTCCATCCGAATCGGGGCTCGGCCGGCCCCGGCTGGCGCAAGGTTGCGCGTCCGAACGGCCGGCGCCAAAGACACCGGCCCCAGCCGGGCCCAGCCGGGCCCACGCGCCTGGACGCATGTGCACGCCGACCATGCCCTGCCACCTCCGGCACTCGGGCCCTAGTCCTGCTGGCCATGCCATCCCCGGGAGGCCCCGCCAACGTGCAGCCCGCCCGGCCCCGAGTCGCCCGCCGCCGGGGCCCGGGGAGGATGGCCGCCGAACAGGCCCGGCGCCCAGGCGCGGCCGCCCGCGCCGGCCGCCCGCCCGCCCCTGGAGCCATCGGACGCGCGGGGGCCATCCACGCGCGGCCGCAGCCGCCGGCTAGACTTCGCCCCGCTCGGCCCCGGGCCGAGGCCGATGCCGTGCCGCCGCCGCCGCCAGCACAGGTGTGGCCAGCCCCGACCGGCGCTCCCAGTCCGCCGCATCGGCCGCGAGGGGCCCGTCCCCACGAGGATAGCCCACGCCGGCCATCCGGGCGTCGCACCCGGCCCCCCTCCTGAGAGCCCCCGGCACAGCCACCCCGCGCCCGCCCGGCGAGCAGCCCCGGCATCGCCCTGCTTGTCCGTCGATACACACACGCATATGCCCATGCGGGGGCTTGCATGTGTCCCGCGCATGGCCCGCCGCGGGGAAACCCTGCCCGCGGCCATGCGGCCGGCTGCCGCAGGACATCGTCTGCCCCCGGCGCATGCCCGACCCACCATCGGCACCCGCGTCACGCACGCGAGCTCGCCCGAGCCCCCGCCCCCCGCCCGTCCATGCGTCGCGAGATGCCGCCTCCGCGGGACGCGCTGGCCCGCGCTCCGGCACGGGGAGCGAGCCCTCCCCCCCCCCTCCCCCGGGCCAGCACTCGCCACCCTCCGCGCCACCTCGGCCGGGCAAACGGGCCATCCATTCCCGGTGGCTTTATTGGCTGGCCGGCGCCCGCAGGCAGGACGCCAATCGGCGTTGGACATGGGGCACAGTCGCACGCGCCTCCCCGTGCACGACGCACACCAAAAGCACCGGGTCGCGTCCGGGCCCGAGGGCCTCGCACGCGGCCCCCCTCAGCAGGTCGCCCCTGCGGGGTCCGGGCCACCTCGACCGGCGTATCACGCCCGGCAGGCGCCCCGGGCCCGCGGCCCCCGGGCCCCGTCCACACAGCCCCCCTCTACACGTCGGTGCCGGGAGCCGGGGCATCGCGTGAGCATGGGGCCCGAGCAAAGGGCCGCCCCTGCCGTGGCTCGAGGGTACCCTCGTCGGGGGACAGGCCATCGCGGCCGACCATCGGACGGGCCCGCGCGGCACGGCGGCCGGCGGGCTCGAGCCCGGCGTCGCCAGGGCCCCGCCGAGGCCGCCGCTCGGGCCAGCCCCGCACCGGCCCCGGCCGGCCATCTTAAATGTCGTCGTCATGCAGGGGCGGCAGCTCACGACCGTCAGCGACGCCGACACGCCCTCCCGGCCCGGCGACACGGCCACGCGCCCCTCCCCCCCTCCCCCGGCTGCCGGCCGGCATCCTCCTCGTACCAGCCGAAGCAATCATACTCCTCGTCCGAGCACGACAGGTCCTCCATGTCCGAGAAGTAGTCGACAAAGGTGTCGCCGATCCGGGCCGGCTCCGGCCTCGAAACGAACGACACATAGTAGGTGGCAATCCGCTCGGCCAGCACCCCGGCCTGGTGCTGCGCGGCGCGGCGCGGCGCGGCGAAGGGGCCAGTCAGTCCTCCGGCCGACCGGCCGCCCGGGCCCCGCCCTCGCCCCTGCGTGCATGTGCGCGCGCGCGCGTGCAAATGTGTGCACCTACCTCCTGGCCGCCCAGGAGCACCAGGCGCTTGCGCAGGGCCCCGAACAGAAAGGCCGTCGGATCCACCCCGGAGGGCATCATGCCGAGCGCATGCGCCAGCGCGTCCCAAATTTGCTCGTACATGTCCTCCATCTGCACCGGGCCGGGCCCATGGCCGGCGACACCACGCGGCACGCTGCACCGTCAGCAAGAGGGCCATGCCCCGGCCGGCAATGCCCCGCAGCACGGGCCCCGGTCTCGCCCGCTCCCTCCCTCCGGCGGAGACATACCTCAAGCCTCGAGTCCACCGACAGGGCGTAGTACCCGTACTTCAGGGTCGCGTCCAGCCACTCGGACACCATCTTGTCCAGGGGGGTGGCGCTGGCGCGGGGGCTGCAGAAGTCAGACATCGTGGACGATGCTCGGGCGGCGGACGGCGGACGGCGGACGGCGGACGGCGGACGGCGGGCGGGGGGCGGGGGCGGCAAGATACAAAAAGGGGGGGCGCTTCGTTGCATGCGACGAAGCAGTAGTGAAGGGAGAAAGCCTGATTGCCCGCACCATGGCCCGGCGGCGCCTGCCGGTGCTGCCTTATGTACACTTGCTGCAGCCGGCTCGCCGCCCGAGCGCCCGCCACCCGGCGTCGCCCTGCCCCCTCGCCCGGGCGCACCCCCGACAAGCCGGGCCGCGCCCCTATGCTGGCGCACCGCACCGCCCGGGCGGGGGCCGGCCGAGCCAGGCGGCACCCAAGGCCCGGAACACGCCCGGGCCCTCACCGTCGGCCAGCAGTCGGCCCTCCTGCCCCCGAAGGGGCCGCGCATCCACCGGCGACCGTTGCCAAGGAGGGCGCGAGGGCTTTTCCAAATGCACCGCACCCACCGGCGCATGCGGAATCCCCGGCCCGGGCCGACCAAGGCCAACTCGCCCCCCGGGCGGGGGACACACCAGACGCAGATGCCCCACGCATGCCAGGCGCCCGGCTGCCCGCCTGTTGTGCACCCCGGCACCGGCCCGCGGCCACACACACCGCCGGAGGAAGCCCCGCCCCCGGGGGCCCGGCCAGGCGGGCCGAGAACACCGCCCCGGCCCCCGCCCCCGCCTCGCCCTGCTGGCACGGCCCGCTCGCGGCCACCGGCCTTTGTGCGCGGTGCCGGAGCACACGACGCCCCGCCCTCCTCACCCGCAATCGAGCCCCCGGGCGGCCACTCGCCCCGCCTCCCCGCGCGCCCGAGGCCGACGGCACCCCGCGCCGGGGAGCTCGCCCTGTGGACTACGCGCCCTGGCCACCAGGTGGGCATCGCCCGCCCGGCACGGCCCAAGCCCGCATGCCCACATGGGCCTGGTGCAAGGGGGGCCAGCCGCCCTCCTGGGGAGGGGTCAGGCCCGCAGCAAGGGGCAGCTCCCATGCTCCGGAACCGGCGCCGCTTCCGGCCGGAAAGACTGGCCGCCCGCGCCCAGGGTGCCCATAAACCGGGCTCCCGGCCTGGCCAGTGCATCTGCGCCGCGCCGCGCCCGCCCGACCGCCCGACCGCCGGCGAGGCGCCCCCTCTGCCGGGGCCACATGCGGCCGCGCGGCCCGGCCAGCCGAGGATAGCCCGCCTGCTCGGCTGGCATGCCGGTGCCGCCGCGGATGCGCGGAAAAAATCCCCCGCCCCCCGCTCTTCTTTTTCCCCTGAGAGAAGGCCCGAGAATGACCTCGTCACGCCCCGAGCATGCGGGGCCGAAATAATGCCCCTGCTGCTGGAGCCCCGCCGGCGGAGGCCAGCCCCCGGGGGGGGGGGGGGGGGGGAACTCAAGCGGGCGTAAAAGGAAACCCTCCCCTCCGCCGAGACCAGGCATCCCCATCCGGGCGCGTGAGGCGGCCAGTCGGGCAGGCACCGGCCGCCTCCAACGGGCAGCCAGGCCCCCGGCCGAGGGCGGGGAGGCCCCGCGCGCCAGGTGCCCCGGGCGCAGCGCGCACCGGCCGACAACCGCCGAGCGGCCGGCGGATGGCGGAACCCCCCCCCGCCCCCTTGGGCCTCTTGGACCACAGGCCGATCGAGGGCTAAGCCACTTGTGCCTCTCACCCCGCAAGGGCCCACCTGCCGCGGGACCGAGGGCCGGGAAAGCGGGGAGACACGCGGCCGCCATCGAGGGCTCCCCGGCGCGGGGGATGCCCGGGGGCGCCGGCTCGAGTGTTTCCCCCACAATGGCCACCGGGCCGGAGCCGGCCGCCGGACCGCCGCACGCCTGACAGCCGTCATCCTCGCGCGGCGCCCCGGTCCGGCTTAACTCATGCCCGCGTTAATCGAGCAGCCCGCGCGTGATCTCCAGGCCCATGACCGGGCCGGGCGGCGACGGCCCCGGGTGTCCGGCCTGGCCCGCCTCGGGCGGCGGACGCCCAGCCAAAGAGCCGCCCTGCCCGGTGCATCCGCGCCATCGGCCGGGGACTCGGCGGAACACGAGAAGGACCGCCTGGCTTCCGGGCGCCTGGCCCATGGGCGGCGGCCCCAATGGCGCCGCCAGGTGCCTCACAGGCGCAACGACCGATCGTCGGACCAACGAGAGAGAGAGAGAGAGAGAGAGAGAGAAAGAGAGAGAGAGAGAGAGAGAGAGAGAGAGACGGAGAGAGAGGCAGGAGGAAGGGCGAGTACATGGCCGTGCGGGTGTGCAGGGGCGAAAGCGCGTGCGTGCGCACACGTGCCCCGGTCGCGCGGGCCCGTGTGCAGGATGGCGCGGCGGCCGGCTGCTTCGAGCACGAGCCCTGCCCAGCCGGCAGGGGGCGGGAGAAGCGGCGCCGCATCGGTGCCAGCCGGGGCCAGGCGCTGTGCAGACCACGCGTCCGGCCTGCCAGCCAGGGCCGCGGTGTCCTGCCGGGCTGGCAGGAGGATCGCCATCCCCAGCAGGCCAGAGGGCCGCTCGAAGGTGCCCGTCCGGGGTCCACGCGCGCAAACGCCGCGACAGGACACCGGCCGGCCCGTGTCTCCCGGCCCCTCCCGGGGGCAGCACATGCCCGCCTGCCGGCCGACCGCAACCGCCAGAGAAGGGCCTCGCCCGCATGGCGGACATGTGCCACCGGGGGCCCGGCCCACACGCAAGGGTGCATCCGGGTACACCCGGGCCCATGGGTGCATTTAGGTAATAGGCGCAGCGATCCGCAGACACACAGACAAGCATACGCAAGCATACGCAAGCATACACAGGTATACACAGGTATACACGTATTTACAAGAATAGACAAAAATTCACACACACACACACACACACACACACAAATGTACACACACCCAACAAACAATCCACACCCCACGCATGGCAGCCGTCACATGTATTTCTGATACTCCTTGCTCAGCTTCGCCTTCTCACCACACCGGTGCTTGGCCGGGTCGCCCGACACCGCCGGCGTCAGCCGCTGAATCGCCTCGAACAGACGCCCACAGGGATGCCGCGCGTAATATGGCAGCTTGAAAGCCTGGCCGATGCCCCGGTGGTACTTCACCAGCGAGTTGACCACCTGCGGCAGGGCACAGCCCAAATCCGCCGCCAGCTGGTGCAACGGCTCCACGTACGGCCGGTGGATGGCCACATCCAGCAACATGGGCAGCTTGGCCTCCGGCACGAACATCCCCCCGGGGCCGGACCCGGCCTCCGGGGGCAGGGCCAGGAAAAAGTACTCCGGACAATACCGATGCAACAGGGAGTACGTCCGATCCGGGCAGAGGACCAATTGCTGGGCAATGTCCCGGACCGTGTGCAACATGCGCCCGCCGGCCGGGTGCACCTGCCCCCCCAAGCGCCGCAAATGTCGCACCTCCGACTCCGGCAAATCCAACACCACACGCCCGTCCTGCCACAAGCGCCGGCATTCCTCCACCCCGGCCAGGGTCCGGGCCACTGCTTGGTTTGTTATCCCCAACGACCGGGCCATCTCGGCCTTGGTCAGCGGCGGCCGCAGGCCCGCCGGCCCCAGCAGCTGGTCCACCACCCGGCCATCCATCCCCAGGACCAGCGACCGGAGGTCCTGCTCGGCCCTGGCGGCCCCGCGGTCAGCCGGCCGGCAGCCCGGCGCCTCGGGCACCGGCCGATCGCTCGGACGCACCGGCGACCCGACCGGCAAAAAGCGCCGCGCATAGTCCGAGAAGCTGATGCTGACATCGGCCTTCGGCAGGGACAGATGTCGCACCGGCCGGTCGTAGTCACCCGGCAGGATGACCGCCGGCTCATAGTACTTGATGTACCACCGGATCCGGGCCACCGAGAGCCTCAACTCGGCCGCCATCTCCCGCAGGCTCATGCACCGGCTGTGAAGGAGCTCCCGCAGTTGGGTCTGCTTGTTCGGCGACAGTGGCCCCCAATACCGGATGGCATACTCCGCATGCAGGCCGGGCCCCAGCATATCGATCGCCGGCAGGGACACCCCGGTGGCCTTGGAAATCTGGTACCGCGCAAGGGTCGGCCCCGACACCATCAGCATCTCACGCAGGGCATCCATCTGGGCCTGCGGCCTCGGTGACACCAGCACGTCCCGATGCTCGGGCATGTGCTTCTGCAGGGCAAGCGACAATTGCCGCCACGACACCGACAGCATGATGGCCATCTGGTCGATGGACAGCCGCGGCACCACGGCCATCAGCTGCCGCAGCCGAGACAGGCACACATGCTCGTCGGTGGCCAAGTCCGGCAGATGGGCCTTCAGCAGGGGATTCACCCGGGCCAGGGGCAGCCGCAGCAGCCGTGCCAGGGTGATGCCCAGCACCGGCGGGGCCCGCTGGGCCAGCGCCAGCAGATCCTCGAGCACCGGGTCCCCGGGGCCCACCCCCGGCGACTTGGCCCTCGATGGCCACGGCCCCGGCGCGATCCCATACTCCCAGCCATACTCCACCAGGAGGACCCTCGTCGAGGCCCGGTCCAGGCCCATCAGCCGGCCGACAGTCCCGATGGGGACTATCGGCTCCTGGCTCTTCGGCGGCCCGGCCAGCCGCAACAGCAGCCGGAAGTGCGACACATCGTCAAATCCCTGCGGCAGGGGAACCCGCCCGGACTCGATGTCCCGGCAGAGGCGCTCCCCGGCACAGAGACCCTCCCGGTCAGCCGCGGCCTGGGCATCTGCCCTGCGGGCGGCGGGGGCGGCGGGGGCGGCGGGGGGGGCGGGGGCGGTGGAGGAAAGCCACGCGCGCTCGGCGCCGGTCATCGCCGCCACCCCGAGCCCGGGCTCCGGGGGCGTCGGCCGCCGCCACCATGCTCGGCCAATGTGAGCAAGCATCGGAGCGGGCGCGGGCGGGACAAAGAAAAGTGCGTGGCGCGGTCGCGAGACCGAGAGACCGTCAATCGGGAGGGGTCGGCCCGCGAGGGGAGACAGAGACAAAGAGAGAGGGGGAGAGAGAGA